AGGATGCTGGACCCACAGCTCACAACAGACAGATGACAGACGGCTGTCTCTGATCCCAACCTCAAGTAGGATGTTCCTGATGCACTGGATCCCAGATCCTGTATAGCTTTAGAACCTGTGTAGTTTGTGTTTCCTTGGCTTCTCCTTTGGATCTTTTAGGTGCTAAGGAAATGAGAATGGTTCACCACAAAACAGGGCAGACAAAGGGGATAATTAAGGGCCTCTTCCAAGCAACGTTGGTATCATAAAATAAAAGTTAAAGAATGAAAGAACTACACAAGAAGGTGCTGGGGTTGACACAAAGGACTTGAAACAGCACTACCAGGAGTTGGGTGCAGCAATGGGGATCCCTTCAGGTCCATCAGCAATTCAGAGACCTAAACGAATATTCCCTATTCATGTTGAATTGGCAGAGTGTGAAATCTAGAAGACAAAATGGCCAGGAAAATTGTGTGATTTTTGCGTGGGTGAAGGTCTGGCAAGTTAATCAATTTGAGGACTGTTGAAGGCCTGAGGTGGTCCTGCCCTTGCTTGGTGCCAAGACCGTAGTCCAACTCATGTGAAATTGCCAGGGAAGAGAGAGTAGTTTTTTTGGTAGTTCTTGTTATCAGGCATATGTGCATTTGAATTTTCTCTTCATGGCCTTTCTTGGCTCTATTTCTCATTTTTTTTAACATACATACTTTCATTTAGATTAATTACCTTCACAGGGTCACAGAGAAGGGTGGAAGGAAGGGAGGCCCTGGGATGAGTCTCAAAAAAACATGGAAAATTGTGGAGAGGGACAATAGCAGGGTGTAAGGAATTATTGAGATCTTATTCTGCCCCTCCCAGGAGGCACAGGCCAGTCTTTTTCTGCATTTGAGGTTCTAGGTTATAAGCCCTGTAGACTCTTCCCTTCAGGGCAGGGTGACAACTATGCAAATTCAAGTGGGGGCCTCCCCACTTAAACCAAGGGCTCCCCTTCACAGTGAGTCTCCCTCACCACCCAGCTGGGGATCTCAGTGCTTCATTTTCTGTCCTTCATTTCTGTCCTCCACCATGATGGGGTCAACTGCCATCCTCGCCCTCCTCCTGGCTGTTCTCCAAGGTCAGTCCTGCCCAGGGTTTGAGGTCACAGAAAAGAATGGGGAGAAAGGAGCCCCAATTCAAATTTTGTATCTCCCCCACAGGAGTCTCTGCCGAGGTGCAGCTGGTGCAGTCTGGAGCAGAGGTGAAAAGGCCCGGGGAATCTCTGAGGATCTCCTGTAAGACTTCTGGATACAGCTTTACCAGCAGCTGGATCAGCTGGGTGCGCCAGATGCCTGGGAAAGGCCTGGAGTGGATGGGGAGAATCTATCCTGGTGACTCTGATACAGAATACAGCCCATCCTTCCAAGGCCAGGTCACCATCTCAGCCGACAAGTCCATCAGCACCACCTACCTGCAGTGGAGCAGCCTGAAGGCCTCGGACTCCGCCACGTATTACTGTGCGAAAGACACAGTGAGAGAAACCAGCACTGAGAGCACCAAAAACCCTCCACAGCGCAGGTGCAGAGTGAGCTGCCAGAAACTCCCTCCCCAGGGACTTCTCTATTCATCCGGGGAGGAAACACTTTTTGTCCTCAGGAGCGAGAACCAGAGAACAATGCGGGAGGGTTCCCAGCCCCTAAGGCAACTGGATGGGGGACCTGACCATGGGAGGCGGATTCTCTGAGCGGGCTCTTGTGTGTTCTACAAGGTTGTTCATGGTGAATACTACATGGTTAACATCAAAAGCCTGCCTAACAGGCACCTCTTCAATATGACAGTATTTTAATTAGTGAAAATTTTACACAGTTAATCATTGCTTGCTTGCCTTCCTCCCTCCTATCCACTCTCACTCCCTCCTTTTATTTTCTACTTACTTTTACAAAGTCATTTAATCACTTTTTGAAATATTAATAGGTTCTCTTGTTTCTGTTATTGTTTTCATTAATAATATGCCCTGAATAATTCATCTTTGTGCCAATTCATAAGTATTCGGTATAACAAAGACTTCCTCCATAAATAGATTTCCTGTGAGTAATCTTGCAAATATTTTAGAACCTGTTTGGTTAAGGATAAATTAAAATAAATAGATAGGTTGTATGTTTTTTAAAATTTATCAAAACAACCACCAAGAAATAAAAAATCTGGGCTGGGCATGGTTGCTCATGCCTGTACTCGCAGCACTTTGGGAGGCCCATGCGGGTGGATCACCTGAGGTCAGGAGTTCGAGATCAGTGTGATCAACATGACGAAACCCCATCTCTACTAAAAATACAAAAATTAGTTAGGCTTGGTAGTGTTCCCCTGTAGTCCCATAGTCCCAGCTACTCGGAAGACTGAGGCAGGAGAAGGACTTGAACCTGGGAGACAGGGGTTGCATAAAGCCAAAATTGAGCCACTGCACTCCAGACTGGGCAACGGAGTGAGACTTCAATTCAAAAAAAAAAAAAAAAAAAAATCTGAACAGACCAGTGAGTAAAGAGATTGAGTCAGTGGTTTTTCAAACATCTTAAATCAAAGAAAAGTCAAGAACTTCATGGATTCATTACTGAATTTTATTAAAAAAAAATAGAATCTCTACTGAAATTTCCAACAAAATAAAAAGGAAGGAATACATCCAAGCTTATTTTGGAAGGCCCTATTTCCAAAGCAAGGAAAAGAAACTACAAATAAATGAAATTACAGGCTAATATCCCTGATTATCATAGTTTCAAAAACTCTCAAGAGTGACGACAAACAAAATTCAACAGCACGTTGACAACAGAATTCACCATGATCAGGTGTGGTTTATCTCTAGGATGCAATGAAGTTTCAACCTGCACAAATAAAGGTGACATATTAAATCAAAATACTGAAGGACTAAAACTATATGTCCATATCAATAGATTCAGAAAGAGCCGCTGACAGAATCCACCACACTCTCATTATAAAGAATCTGAACAAATGCATAAAATATATACCTCAACACAATAAAGACAACATAAAACAAACCCACATCTAACATTATACTCGATGAGGAATATTTTGTCTTCCTCTAAGACTAGAAACTAGACAAGATCCTCACCACCACTAATATTATTCAACGTAGCACAGGTGGGTTTAGACAGAAGAGTTAGGCAAGAATAAGATATAGAAGTCATCCATATAGTAATGAATAAATATAAAACATATTTTTTCATATTATATGCTCTTATTTATAAAAAGCTCGAAAGACTCCACCGAAGACGGTTGGAAGCAATGAAGAGATTCAATAAGTTTCCAGAATTAAAAAAATCAAACTCATATTTCAAGACGGCAGGTTAGAGGCACTGCCAGCATCCCTCTTCCACTTGGAAGGACAAACTAACGCGGAGAGATGAACATTGTGGACTTATTTTCAAGAAGCAATGCAGGAACTGAACAGAAACACTGAAATGATCTGCAGACTTTCTGAAAAAAGCAGGAAGCTGCAGCGCACACTGTGAGTCAGGTGAAGGGCTGGGAGTCCCCAGAGTTTGAGGGGAGAGTTTGCCTCTGGGATACACACCCCCACCTGTGATCCTGAAAGTCCAGGCCACAGGAGAAGGTTCTAAACTCACCCCATGCCAGGACCCACTCTTGGAGGGTCGTGGAATGTAAAAGTAAGGGCAGTGGCAGGAAGACCCTTCCATAAGCCCCCAGATCTCACTGTGGTCTGAGGACAGCCATTTCCTAATGGTCTTCACAGAGGACCCTGGGGAGAACAGCCAAAAATTTCAGGCACTGGTCACAGGTTGAAAGAAGCTCTCAACAGGGGTGTGTGATACAACCTCGGGTGGGGACGAACTCCCTTAGCCAGGGCCTGGGCAGGGAAGAGCTCTGGGGCCCGGCTTTGCAGCAGATAGGAAGGGGCATGGCATGAAACCCATGGCTGCAGTCTCCATGGGGACAGCTTATGACTCCTGGCATTTGTATATACTGATCACAGGTTGACTGGAACTGATCTCATTGCTGCCAGTGGAAAACCACGGGGATGCATCTGCGTCACCAAGTGTGTGGGAAGTGTGTGGGGCTTACCACCAGCTGCCACTCCCCACTCCCAGAACAAACTTCTGTGCAGCAGAGGAAGACATGGTCCCCTCTGGAACATCAACCCAGCGGCCTGTGAAGCACCCCTGTCCCCCACACCCACAGAGGCTGCTGCTTGCCCTGCACACGGATACTCAGTGCAGAAACCCACCTGGCCCAGCCCTCACCTTGCTTTGTGCAGCCACCTGCCCTTGCAGCTTAACACAAAGGATGGCATCTTTTGGGAGCTACATGGCCACACCCACTGCCTGAGAATCCATAGTAGCCCCTATTCCTGGGCAACATAAGCCAAGCAAAACCCCATTGTTAATACTGTAACTGGTGCTGTTTTGCAAGCAACACCTCCAAGCAGGAGTCCAATCAACAGTCCATCACAGTATCTCCTGGTAGATAACACTGCACCCAGAAAGAAGGAAATGACTCCTTATCAGGGGATAAGGTGTGATCTCAGGACACCTTATCCCCTGTCCATGAAGGGGATGCCATCTGATGTCTGCCCTTCCCCAGTGTCCACACCTTAGGGTCTGTGCTAATCTGGGCGTCTCTTCTTCTTATTCTCAGAGGTAGGGTCCCTGTGGATCCAACCTAGCTGTGGCTGCTTCTCAGCCTGTTCCCTCTGTGTTTTTATGAGTCCTACATGAAGTTCACTGGTGGAATCTGGAAGAGAAATGGTACAGCCCAACAATTCTCAGAGCATTTTATACAAAGCCTCTGAATTTACCTTCGTTGACTTTAGCATGAGCTCAGCCCAGCAGAATTCAGGACAGGAGTTGGTGTGGGAGGCAACAGGGAGTCATTCAAGTGGAATTTGTCAGTGGTATCCTCCATGAATTCAAAGAAAAATTATAATCCTCAGGGACACCCTTGTCAGCACAACCTCTCTCAAAATGACCAACCTGAGAGCCGAGGACAAGGCCATGTATTACCATGAGAGACTCAGGGGACATCTGTGTGATGAGCCCAGACACAAACCTCGCTGTAGAAAGACAGGAGGGGACTGTGTGGTACACACTGATCAGAAACACAAAGGGAAGCTCAGAACCAGTAGGAAGCTGACAAAGGAGGGCTCAGAAGTCACCAGGGGGTGTTGAAAACCACCTGGGGGTAGTGAAGACACCAGGGGGTGCTGAGGACACAAGGGGAGGATCAGGACACCAGGGGGTGCTGAGGACACAAGGGTAGGATCAGGACACCAGGGGGTGCTGAGGACACAAGGGGAGGATCAGGACACCAGGGGGTGCTGAGGACACAAAGGGGTGCTCAGGACACCAGAGTCTGCTGAGAACCTCCAGGGGGTGCTCAGGACATGAGGTGGTGCTCAGGACACAAGAGGGAACTCAGACTCACCAGGGGGCGCTCAGGACACTAGGGAAAGCTACGGACACCAGAGAGCACTCAGAACCACCAGGGGGCGCTCATTACCACCATGAGGCGCTCAGGACATGAGTTGACACAAGGGGGAGCTCCAAACCACCAGGGGACACTCAGGACACTCAGGGGTTGCTCAGAACCACCAGGGGGTGCTCAGGATGTGAGGTGATGCTCAGGACAAAAGGGGGAGCTCAGAACACCACGTGGCTGTCAGGACACCAGGGTTCTCTTAGGAAGCAGTGCCTCATCAGGTCCCTGGGGACGGTGGCTTTCTTTATTTAATCCTTATGATTCCTGACCTGGTGAAGCCAAAGTCTTCCCAGGATCTCTTGCCATTTCTTCCTTGGAATCCATGTTTCTCTTACCTACAAAATCTTAACTTAGAACAGGAATTCAATTAAACTTGTAATTCTTTATATTTTTGTAATAATACTAGCAATAATATCTCAGTAAAATTTTAAAATGAAGAAATTGTGTATGCTTACTTCAAACTATTTCCACAAACAGATTTTTGTTACTGTGCTGTGTCAGTCACACTATGTAAATGTTTTCTAACAATAACTCTGCATATGCATGATGTTGAGTTTCTTGCTCTTTCATCTGCTAATTGTAAAGATGAAACACCACTTTAAGGGCTCCTGTCTTCCACTTTGGTGGTTCCTGGTGTTCTGCCCCTCATTCTGTTTCTCCACTTCCCTTCTTCTGTCCAAACCTTTTATATTCCTCAATTTCCATTCAAGGAAACAGCAAGTCCGTTTACTTTGTCTCATCTATGTCTGGTGAATGAATTCACTTCTCTTTATGATCACTGAAGCCAACCAAGTATAGGCAGGCAACAGTTCTAATATGATCATCTACCTGCAAACGCTCTGCCCTCTTCACCCCTTTCTAGGGTCCTGCAGACATGCCCTCTACACATCCCCTCCCTTCCCTAAGTACCACAGAGTGGGCTCTGCAGCTCCTGCTGCCCCCTGTGTGCTCAGTCCTGGGGCTCACTAGTGCTTTGATGATAAATTCCCATGTGTTTGCACACTCTCAGACCACCCTCCAGCCAGCTGTCACTGTGAGTGAATCCCTGGGAACCCTGGGAACCCTGGGTTGATTTTAGTTCTATATTTATGGATATTCTCTAGCATCCAGGAATATTGTCAAATAACCTATCGAGTTTATGTTAAAAATTTGTGTGAAGCCACTGCAAAAGAAAAAAGTCTTTAAATTGGAAATTGCTATTTTTAACTTAATACTTAATATGTTATTTTAATTTAATATTTAAGGGCCAGGCGCGGTGGCTCAAGCCTGTAATCCCAGCACTTTGGGAGGCCGAGGCAGGCGCATCACGAGGTCAGGAGATCGAGACCATCCTGGCTAACACAGTGAAACCCCGTCTCTACTAAAAAAAAAATACAAAAAACTAGCCAGGCGAGGTGGTGGGCGCCTGTAGTCCCAGCTACTTGGGAGGCTGAGGCAGGAGAATGGCGTAAACCTGGGAGGTGGAGCTTGCAGTGAGCTGAGATCTGGCCACTGCACTCCAGCCTGGGCGGCAGAGCGAGACTCTGTCTCAAAAAAAAAAAAAAAAAAAAAATTTAAATGCTATTTAAATTGGAAAAAGCTGATGACTTTTGTAAAGTACAATGTTATTTCAACCAATCGTGTAATAAAATTTTAAGAG